AACACATGGGTGCATATATCCTTTCTGATTGGTGTTTCTGGTTTCTTGGGATATATTCCTAGAAGTGGGATCACAGGGTCAAATGGGATTTCCATTTTTAGTTTTTTGAGGAAACTCCATACTGTCTTCCATAGTGGCTGCACCAGTCTGCATTCCCACCAGCAGTGCACAAGTGTTCCTTTTTCTCCACAAGGAGAGGATATGCTTTAAAGTACACCAAAATTTTCCTTTCATTTTTAAGGTTTTACCAAATGATATTTACCTAAACTCCTGTTCCTGAAGAGGAGTTTAATAATGATAATCATTTCAATGTCCCTCCCTTTTTTTGATGGGAAATGAAGGAAATTGAAAGCCAACTAGTTGACATTACTTGATCAGTGCCATTTAGTCAGGACTGAAATGGTACTTTATCAATTTGTACTTCAGTTCATCTGTAAACTGGGGTGACTGTTCCCTGCCCAGAAACCTCACACAATGGTGAGGGTCAATAAAATTTTGGAGTGAAAGGAAGCATAAGAGCAAAAGTGTCAAGAGGATGCAAACATTTATTAGCATTTGGGACCAGAATTAAAGTTCTCCCCCTGCTTCCCCTCCGCGCCCCCCAAGAAATTTTGGTACTTTCCTTTACCCTGGTGATGTAGGTGGTGGTTCCCTTTTGTGTCTCTGAACTTCTTCAGGGACTAATGAGGAATCAAAACAAAGTAGAATTAGAGAAAGGCAAGGAGGCAGAAGGGGTTCGAAGAATGTGTTTGGAACCCTCAAAGCAATTCAGATCTCTTTGCCTCTAGCATAGTGCTGAAGAACACGAGTGTAGACCCAGCTTTAGAGCCTGACTTCTTACTAATTGTGAGACCTCGGGCAACACATTTAACTTCCTGCACCTTAGTTTTCTCATCTTTAAATGAAGACAAGAAAAGTGCTTTCCTGTGGTTCTCATCATCCTGGCCTCAGCTCCAGTGTCCTCGAATTCCTCCCCAACGCCTCTCTATCACGTGACCTTGCTCTATGCTTAGCACTTCCTAGAATCTGAAATTATTTAACTTTTCCTGTTTGCTGTTTAATGTGTTTCTTTCTTAGTAGTATACACTCTTTGAGGCTGGGCGTCTTGTCTGCGCTATAAGCGTGAGTGCTCAATAAACAATTGCTGGTGAACAATTAGGATTGCTGTGAGAATGAAATGAGAAAACCTAAGTCAAGTTAGCATTGTACGGGACACAACCACTTTTCTAACAAATGATCACTTAACAAATACATAGATTGTACTTAACTACGTGTTAGGCACTGGTTTTACAAATGGCAAGTTAACTCATTCCGCCTCCGCTTAATCCTCTGAGGTAGAATCCTATCATGAACATTTTATAAATGAGGAATCTAAGTCACAGAGAGTAACTTGCCCAAGATCACTCAACTAGTAAGGATTCAAACCCGGGCTTGAAATCAAACTCTTACGCATTACGTTTTGCTACCTTGGAAGGAGGTAGTAATGTGGACATTTTTATTTGGGGCATAAAGGAATGGGGAAAACGCAGGGCATTGCTGAGCCTAAGCGGGTCTGAATCTTTGTCTTTCCTCTGATTCGGGGAAAATGCAATCGGTGTCAAGGGGAGGGAGACGCATGTTCTTGACGTGCGTTGGCCCACAAGTCGGAGCCGGTTCCGGGGTGTCCGGGGAGCGGCCAGCATCCTCCAAGGCGGGCCAGGTCCCCGCCCGTCAGCCGGAGCCTCACAGGCCCCCTCCCGCCGCAGGGCCGCCGCCGCCGCGTGGCCACGCCGCGCCCGGACCCTGGGAAAAAAGTTTCCAAACGCCGCTGCTCGGCGCTGATTGGCCGAGGCGGACGCGGTCCCGTGGCGCAGCAGCCAATGGATGACGCGGGCCGCGAGCGCAAGGGCGGGGGCCCGCGCCCGAGGTCCCGGCCGCACCACCCTCAGCAGCCGCCGCTGTTTCTGCCGCCTCCGCTGTTGCAGCCGTCGCCCGTCCTCGCCGCCTTAGCTCGGGTAAGTGCGGAGCTGCAGCCGCCGCCGGGGCTGAGGGCCGCCTGGGGACCGCCTCCGCCGCTGGGAAACTCTTCTGCCCCGCCCCGCCGCCAGGTGCGCTCCGGGACCCCCGGCCGCCGCGGTGCCGGGACCCTGGGGCTCCCCTCGCTTGCGCGTCGCTTCCTGGCCGCCCGGACTCTGGCGGTCCCGGGCACTGGGCTCGGAATTCCCGCTTCCCTGGAACCTCCCTTGCTAACTTTGTGCCTTCCTACTCTCGTGTCCTCTCCCCGGCTCCTCGCCTTCGCCAACTTTCTTTTTCTTGCTGTCCTGCTCTCCCCCCTTGACTTCCTTGGTCCTTCCGCGTCCCCAGCCCTCGAAGCTCTGCTCCTCGGCTCTCCTGGTCCCTCCCACCCCGAACCCCCCTCCTGGACTCCCCAGTCTCCTTTCTCGCGGTGAGTTCTGCCCCTCCTCAGTCCCCACCACCCCTTTTTTCCTTCGGCTGTCCCCCCTCTCCCCCTCATTTCTCGTAGCTCTCCTGCTCGCCCACTTCCCCACCCTCATCGCAGGCCCCTTTCCAAAAACCTCCTTCCTCCACCTCCCTCCTCCCTTCGGGAACGCGTTTGGAAGCGTCTCCTTTCCTCCGCGTTTCTCAGGTCTCTGCTGCAGGACGGTTCAGATTTCCTCCGACAGCACTTTGGGGACGGATTGGATAAAGGATGAAAACGCTTCTTCTACAGCTTGAATGCGGCGGCTGGGCTTACCGACCTCTGCGAGGTCCTGGGAAACCCCGTCACCCCCGGGACACCGCTTTTTGGGGAAGCTGCTTTATCTTCTCCCGTCTTCTCAGGTTCTCTGCCTCCAGAGGGTCTGAACTTCCCTAACTTCTTTGTTCGGGGTTTGTACTAGCCTTGTGCCTTTTCTACTTGCAGCCCGAGGCCCCTTTTAACTTCCTTTATGAAGAAATGGCCTTTGCAGCGTGCGCTGGGCAGATATTTGTTGTTTTCTGTGCTGGTTTTGTGTGTGTGTGTGTGTGTGTGTTAGAGGATAGGATGGCGTTTTAGGACATGGGGTAAGGTGCTTTGAAGAGGGATTGAATCCCAGTGACTCCCAGAGACATTTGGTACCTGACACCACCCAAACACACACACCGGTATTCAATCCGTTTTGAAGCTTAAATCTTTCCTCTTAGTGTATCTTTTATGTAGGCTTAGATCCAGATGATCTATGTCCTTGAAGTCTCAGGGGCCTCTGGTTGGTAGATTTTATCCCATTTTGGATAAGTGTCTTCTTTTGCCTTTGAACATGCGAACCAGAGAAATCACACCACCTTTCCCTACAGACAGTTTTCTAACATGAGCGCACCTGTGTACAGAAAGTTGGTGTCAGCTACTGGTACTGTGTTTGCATCCAGTACCGAGGTAGATGTTTTGTATCTGCCTCTCCCAGCTGCGCCTGAACACTTAGTAGGTGTTCAGAAATGTTTGAAAAGGGATGGAGGAGGGGGAAACTAGAGTAGGAAAAACTCTTTCCCTGGCATTTTGGTTCAGTAGAAAAAACTTATCCTGGAACAATAGCTATTCTAGTTTTTTGTCCGGGTTAAAATTTCAAAAGCAAAATATGCTTACTGTGAAAGTCAATGTATATAGTGTTATGTCAGGTGTAAGTTCTCATCTCAGTGCCTGCTTTACCCACATTCTGGTACATCCTTCTAGAGCAGTGGTTCTTAACCTTCCTAATGCTGCGACCCTTCAATACAGTTCCTCATGTTGTGGTGACCCCCAATTTCATTGTTACAAATTGAACATAATTAAAGCATAGTGGTTAATCACAAAAACAATATGTAATTATATATGTGTGTTTCCAATGGTCTTAGGCGACTCCTGTGAAAGGGTCGTTCGACTCCCAAAGGGGTCGCGACCCACAGGTTGAGAACCTCTGTTCTAGACCCTTTGTATACAAAGAAGAAAGGGAGATAGATTTGTAAACAAAAATGGCGTTGTTTCTTAATATGTCATGAACTTTCTTCCATTTTAGTACATACAATTCATTTTTTTAAAACAATTTTACTTTATTATTATTTTTATGTAGTTTTATTGACTTTGGAAAGGAAGGGAGAGAGAGAGAGCTGGAAACATCAATGATGAGAATCATTGATTGGCTGCCTCCTGCAGGCCACCGGGGATCAAGCCTGCAACCCAGGCATGTGCCCTTGACCGGAATCGAACCCGGGACCCTTCAGTCCGCAGGCCCACGCTCTATCCACTGAGCCAAACCAGCTAGGGCAGTACATGTAATTCTTAACAACGTCATAGTTTTCCAATTAGTCCTCTGTTGACAGTTATGTTTCTCCAGTTTCCACATCAGTGAATTGATGGTGTACAGCCTTGCGTGTTTGTCCTTGCGTGCCTATTTTTTAGGTAGATCATTATAGACATTGAAAAACAGAAGCCAGACTTGCTGACTCTTGACTGATCTTGTCCCAGTGACATCACTTCTGCAAAGTGCAAAGCCTACTTCATAACGTAGAAGCTGTTTGAGCACGTGCTGGCATTTGGCAACTTCTTTCTCTCCCTTCCTTTCCCTTCAGCTCTTCCATTTGTTTTGATTGGGAAGGATTGGGGTTGGGGTGGAGAAGGGCGGTGAGTTAATTCCTGATGGTTTATAGGTGTGTATTGCTTCTGACCAGCATGCGCCGGCTTTCTTCACTCAGAGGGAAGCCAAGAGAGATTGCTTTGTTGTGTTTTTCTGGTTTTGAAATCAAAGGCATGTGTCTCAAGTGTGTTTTCAGACTTCTCTGTTAACTTTAATCATGGAAAACACACCAAAAACTTGGTGAAACGCATTTTTGTAGGAGTGATAGTTTTAAGTTACATAAAATAGATACTTTTTGAACCACTTGTTCCAGTTTGTTCTTCTGTGCATGCTGTAGAATATAGAGTTGAGGTGCCCATTAGATTTGTCCATGATGGTGGGGCACGATGACATCATGGTGTATTGAAAACACAAGTTAGGAGACTAAATGCCTGTAGCACAGATGAAATAAAGGCATGAAGTATCCGTTTTTAAGATTGTGGGTACAAAGGTGTGTATATCATTACCAAGAGTTAACACCTGCCTGTCACAGTGCCTTTTAAAAGACCATGTGGGCCAAATGAAAATGAGTGAATTTGACCTCTAATCAGTCTGTTTGAAATCCCAGGGAGACCTTGAACTTGAATTTAAAGACAACCCCCCCCAACCCCCCTTGGGTCTGGTTTACAATGTTTCTGCTCCAGCTTCTAAAAAACCAGTTAGATGGTAGGAGGTAAGCCGGGAGTGCCAATGATCATCTTTCTATTGCAAGAGCGGAGACAGCCTGAGAATGAAGCCAAAATATAGGAAAGCAGGACCAAGAGGTAGAGGGATTGGGTCCTGATGATATTGTTTGAGCGCCTGGATCCAGCTGTACCTGATTTACTGTTATGAGAGATAATCAACTCCCTTTCTTGGTTGTACCAGTTAGGGTTGGATTTCTGTCACAAGAGAGTGCTACTTAATATATAAAAAAGTGGTAAGTGATTGTCTTGCTTACTCTTACAGCTGAATGGCCTTAAAGTGACAAAGTTGTTTATAAATGCCCAACACACAGCAAATAGAAGGTGATGTTAAAATTCAGTAGATAATGCTGGAGGAGGGGAACGTTTGCAAGTCATCTTACCTGCTTTCTGTGGCAGAGAATAACATTAGAACTTTGAGACATTTTCACATGGCAAAGAAAACATTTTTTTAAGATTGCTGTTTCAGTGCTCGCTTCCTCAGCACATATACTAAAATTGGAACGATACAGAGAAGATTAACCCTGTGCAAAGATGACACGCAAATTAAATTCGTGAAGCGTTCCATATTAAAAAAATAAAATAAAAAGATTGCTGTTTCAAAACAAAGCCTTACTTCTTCCCTCTTAGCCTGTAGTATATTTTTTTCTCTTCCCTGAGGATTGTTTTTGAAGTGCAGAGGTTTTTGGTTGAAATGCAGGCTTGTGGTTTTTGCCTTTAGTTGAAGGAATCAGAGATTTAGAGAAGGGAGTGCAAGCTGTGATCTAAGCTCAGGTCTCTGCTTAGTTTCTCCCCAGTATCTGAAGTCCAAAACCAGATCCTTCCCATCAGCATGGTTGTATTTAGAGCCCCTCCCACAATGGAAGCACCTCCTAAAACATCACAAATTAATTTCTTCGGGATTAAGTTTAAGCCTCACTGGCTGTGATAACAGTACTTTAAGGAGCCCTTTTCTAAGCCTCGTCTGTCATAAGAGTGTAGGATGAAGGTTATTAAATTCCAATAACTATATCAGATACTCCTTATCATGTAAACCTTGAGGAGGGGGTAGTTTCAAACATGGCATCCTATCCTCCAACCTCTTCCCATCAAGGAGATGCCACTCAGGTGCTGAGGGAGAGGTGTTCCCCATCCCGATAAGCATCTTAGGGATTTACAGATATAAATGATAAACTAGCCTTCAGAGGGTCTCTTGCTTCTTGCCTTTTCTTACCCTCATATCCCATCAGCTAGTGGCCAATCTCTATCTTCCCCTATGTATGTTCATTCCATAAGTATTGAATGCCTGTAGGCATTGGGGATATAAAAGATGGAGAAGGTCCCTGTGTTCAACATCTGACATCCCAGTGAGGGGTAATAAACAAAAACAAAACTCACAAAGTGATAACACAAAGTTGGGTTAGTATGATACTGAAGGGCTGGAGGGGGTATTTGGTAGTATTCAAATAAGGTCTATCTGGGGAAGACATTTTATTTATTTATTTTTTTAAATATATATTTTATTGATTTTTTACAGAGAGGAAGGAGAGGGATAGAGAGTTAGAAACATCGATGAGAGAGAAACATCGATCAGCTGCCTCCTGCACATGTCCTACTGGGGATGTGCCCGCAACCAAGGTACATGCCCTTGACCAGAATCGAACCTGGGACCTTTCAGTCCTCAGGCCGACGCTCTACCCACTGAGCCAAACCAGTTAGGGCTGGGGAAGACATTTTAGCTGAGATCTGATTGGCAAGAAGGAAACCTGCTGAGAAAAGATCTGAAGGAAAAGCATTCCAGGCAAAGCGAACAAGTGCAAAGGCCCTGAGGTAGGGCAAGCTGGGTGTGTTCAAGCAACAGAAAGAAGGCAGTGTAGCTGGTGCATAAGCAAGAGGGGTAGGCGGGTGGGAAATGCTTAGAGAACTAGGCAGGGACTAAATATGTTGAACCTTGGACATGATCTTTTTGCAAACAGCAGGAAAAGTCAGTATACATTCATTGTTCCTAGTTCCTTACATTCTCACCCTACTTCCTCCCATGCTTTGCACTTGTCCTTAATAAGATCATCAATGGCCACACAGTGCTCAGTTACAGTTGCATGGGCTCTGTGCTCTGGACACTATAGACGTTGGTTTGGTGACTGCATATTAGCTGTGTTCTGGGTTCATTAGAGCTTATGGGTGGAGCAGGGAGCACCATACCTAGGTTCACCCTTTCCTGTTGCCATAACAGTAAATCAGGTACAGCTGGATCCAGGCGCTCAAACAATATCATCAGGACCCAATCCCTCTACCTCTTGGTCCTGCTTTCCTATGTTTTGGCTTCATTTTCAGGCTGTCTCCTCTCTTGCAATAGAAAGATGATCATTGGCACTCCGGGCTTACCTCCTACCATCTAACAAACCCTAGTGGAAAAAGAGAGTTCATTTCTCCAACACCCCACCCCCCAACTTTATGGTTATACTAGTAATTGACATATAAAATTGTGTAAGTTTAAGGTGTACCACATGATGGCTTTATGCATGTATATATTGCAAAGTGATTATCACAATAAGGTAAGTTAACACTTCCAGAGACTTTGTTTCTTGATAGCTCTGCAAAAGGTGTGGGTCTGGACACTTACTGGTTTAGCTTGAGTTAGGCCCACCCTTATTATTGGCTTAGCTTGGGTTCAGTCCAACCATGACTTATTCAGCTTGCGTAAGGCTGATCCCTGTTATTGGCTCAGCGTTGGATAGGCCCCACCCCTAAGCCAGTTACTGATGCTGGAGGCATGAGTAGTCATGTGCCTTCTCCCAGGTGCAGAAGATGATGTCAAGTTCATCTGAACCACATGGAATGAGTGTAGAGTTAGTTTCTCCAAGGGAATATTGGGATGCTGTTACAGGAAGATGAAATGCTGGACTGGAAAAAATCAACAAATTAACAGCTTTCTACTCCATTTGGCCTCGCTGCTTAGATCAAGTTTTCAGAGAAATTGTTCTCAGAAGGGTGTAGGTCGGAGGTCTCATGGCATACTTTCTCTGAATTAGGAAAGAAGAGAAATTAGGAGGGCGAGAAGATGTGCAAACAGTTACTAACAAGTATAGAGTTATCAATAAGTGCTGTGCTCACATAGAGGTATTGTTCAAATTCTGCCAGAGATCCAGGAGTTGTTGATGGTATCCGTGTCAACACTGACATATTTAGCCAAATTATTTGTACTTTTAGCCCAAAATACAGCTTGTTGGTTATGCCTTGCAGAGTGAGGGGTTGCGTTCATTCTTTTGTCCCCAAGGACACATACTGCAGACTGTGAGCTCCTTTGAAGGAAGGAAGGGACCTTGGAGGCATCTAATTTGGGTTTCCAACGACCTTTTGACAAGCTCAGAGCCTTTAATAAATTCAGAAAATAAGCTCAATCAGCAGGGAGTCTATAAACTGACAACTGTTAATAGAACGTTTCCTAACCTCTGCTCTGGATATCTCAAAATCCTCAGAGCCAAAGCCGACACCCCCCACTCCCCTCTAGTTGTGGTCTACTTTGTCTCCTTTTCTTCTCACACCCAGTTCTCCAAAACCCCATGGACTTCCTCTTCTTCACCTCCCACAGACTCCTCCACCCAGTTTATTTCTCCTCCCTCCTCCATTGTGTTGAAATATTCTTGCTCACATTACCAGTGACCAACATTTTGCTAAGTCTGTTGGATATTTTCCAATCCTTATCTTACCATCTTCTCTGTTGCATCATGGATACTGTGGAATGCACCCCCCCCCCGCCACCCCCCTTCCCCTTGACAACCATCTACTCCAAGACAGCTCTCTGTTTCTCTTCTGTCTCCTCCGATTACTGTTTCTTTCCTTGCCCCCCTTTTCAAACATTGGCATTCCTCAGAGTTCCATAAATAGCCCTCATTAGATTCTCCAGTGGTTCCGTCACAAGAAAAAGGAAAGAACCAGCTACAAACTCATAACTCTTAAATTTGTATCATTAGCCCAGAATTTACCTCCGAGTTTAAGATTCAGTGTTGCATCTAGATGTGTTGTGGGCATGTCAAACTAATAATATCTCAAACTGGGTTCATTATCCCCTGCCCTTAAGATTTTCCTTCTGATATTCTGCATCTGTGGTGATGGGGGTGGTGGTGGCACCCAGTTGCCTATGCGAGAACCCCAGGAGGTGTCCTCACCTCCATATTTTTCTTATTTCCCCTCTTCCCAATGTGTTAATCAGCAAATCCTGATGGTTTTATCTATCCATGGAATGAAACCTGCAGGTGGGCTATATTTTGTCTGAGTTTAGTTTTAGTGATTTGGCAATGTTTTATCATTTAATCCATTGTAAAGTTCGGGAATCCCCCCCCCCCCCCGCCCCCTTAATAAAGATCAGCTGTTTAACAAGGGTAATAATTTTAAAACTTTCTCTCCTAGACACCATGCCACAAGAAGAGTGACTTCTTTCATTTTCACAATGGAGGACTCTGGGAAGACTTTCAGCTCTGAGGAAGAAGCAGCTAACTATTGGAAAGATCTGGCTATGACCTACAAACAAAGGTCAGTTCTCCAGAGTTCACCCTGCTTTTTCTTCCCATAATGATGGCAGCAGTCATTTTGGGGGGCATATTATCTGATAAGCACTGTGAAGACTTAGCATACATTATCTCAGTTACTAGTAAATCTCAAAACTACCCCATGGAAAAAAACAACAACAAACATGATCTTCCCATTTTACAAATGAGGAAACTGATCCTTAATGAAGGCAAATAACTTGCCAGGTCGCACAGCAGAGATAGAATTTGAACTCCAAAGCCTGTGGTCCTAAGTAAACTGTTACTTCCCATCTTACTTTTCTTCAGGGTTTTATCAATTCCTAGATGCCATATCCAGTGCTTCATGTGGGGGGAAAGAACTCCCTGTACCTAGCAAAATGGGTTGTTGCCATTTTAAAAACCTGAAACCAGTTTCAGTGCCCATATCTGGGAGGTTTGTGCATATGTGTGTGTGTGTGTGTGTGTGTGTGTGTGTGTGTGTGTGTTACATGCCATTGAGTTGGTTCCAACTCCTGGCAACTCTGTAAATGAGTGATGTCCACAATGTCTTGTCTTCAGCAGCCCTACTCAGCTCTTGTAGACTCAAGCTTATGGCTGCTTTTATGGAGTCAATCCATTTCGTATTTGTCTTCTATTTTTCTCAGCATTATTGTCTTTTCCAAAGAATCCTGTTTCTCATGATGTGTCCAAAGTAGCTTCAGTTTTGTCATTTTTGCCTCCAGTGATGTTTCAGGCTTAATTTGCTCTGGGACCAACTTGTTTGTCTTTCTGGTGGTCCAGGGTATTTGTAGAGTTCTTCTCCAACATATTTCATGAATCAATTTTTTTACTGTCGGCCTCCTTCACTGTAGTGTTCACATCTGTGCATAGTAATTGGGGATACGAAGGTGTGGATGAACTTAGCCTTGGTCTCTACTGACATCTTTGCTTTGGTGATCTTTCCTAAGTCTTTTGAGGCCCAGCCTTCTCTTGATTTCTTGGCTGCAGTCTCCATTTCAATTGACTAGACCAAGATAAGCAAAAATCTTTAACAAATTTGATGTCTTCATTGTCTATGTTAAAGTTG